TTTCATAAATTTTCAAATCAACCCTCCGCCGCCCCTGCTATGCATTTATTTTTTTTTTCATTTATTATAAGCCCCTTTACTATTTCCATTTATGAAAGTCCAGGTAACAATTTTCTTTTTTTTTCCTCTAAATGAGTTACTTTGATCGGTCTAATTGTAATATTGAATCTTTAACTTAACCTTTCCTTATCGTTACCACAGATATGTTACTTGCATCTATCAAAACAAATATTTAAAATATGGCGTCGCGTCGGTTGACAGTGACTAAAAAATATTATCATAAGTATAGGAATTGAGGATTCTTAAATGATGCAAATATTCGCAATTGTACTTTTACTATAAATATTAATAATAAATAATAAATATATAAAAAATAAATGTTCAATATTAAAATTGAATTCATAGTACTATAATATGTTAATACTAGCAGTATAAGTACTGTTATGATATTTTCAGTTGAAACGTTAAATAAATATAAAACATAACATAATTTTGGAATTTTGACATATTCACGTGAAAGAAAAGTAAAAGTAGAAAAAACTGACAACAGGGATGTGGAATACTAAATATGAGAAAATGATGGATAAAATTTAGATATAGAATAAGTTTATAGTACAAAAAGGCAAAATCGTTAAATGAATTAAATCAATCTGTCAAAATAAAGTTAAAGATGTAACTTTTTAACTAAATAGGCTGTAAAAGGCAGCTATATATCGTAGAAAAATTAGAAGGTTCAATAAAGTACAAGAAAATATGTTCAAATAGACATAAAGTGTAATTAAAACTAAATAATAAATAAAATAAAAAATAATAATTAAAACAAAAAACTTAATCGAATAATAAAAAAATAACAGTACTTATACTCCTAGGCATATAAATGACACTTATAGTCCAGGCAAGTTAGACCAAAATCAGTCAGAATACGGAAATTTTTTTCTGATGAACCGATCGAGTTGCGGTTTTCGGCATTGTCTTCTGAAAAATATCAGGAAAAAAGTCTATCTATTACACTTTGGGGCTGGATCGAAACTGCATTGCGAGTGCATAAAGTGCATCTTGGAGTGCATCAATTTTTCCGAATTTTCTAAAAATGGTAAAAATTGACTAAAAGTTGTAGAAATCTGGTTCTCGGGGTCGGAGATTTCGAATCTGACCCTGAAAAATATGCCCAACGGCCCTGGCCCCCCCCACGGGGGCAAGCGGGGGGCCTTCTGTAAAACATCGAATAGCTGAGTAATTGCCTTCTAAATTTCTACTCGGGGGTTTTCGGGGTCGGGGATTCCGAATCTGACACTGGAAAATATCCATTAATCTTAGCTTGTCTATCACTGAGAAAAATTGTCGTAGAATTGGAGAAATCCTGGACAATCCGTTCCCAAGAGACACATTTCGTTAAATCAAAGAAATATTCCTTAAAACCGAAGAATATTTCATGGATCATGGATTTTCAAAAGAATCTCTTGGGCCCGTGCGACTGCGGATAATGCATAACAATTAGGCGACAAAATCCGATTATCGACAATGCAGATCTTGTGGGTGCAGGAAGCATGGAATTACATGCACAATTGCATGTACAAATTGTTTTGGAACCAACTGTTCCAATCCTGAAATAGTCGAAAATGTAATAGATGATAGTGATGGAGACAGTGATGGCAGTACTGATGATGAAAATTGTGATTGATAGTGAAAGTGTTAGATAAACATATGATAGTAGTTGTCTCACTAATTGCCTTGCAAATATAAAGACAATTGGTTCTCAGAATAAAGGGGATTCTTTTCGACTCATTAATTTCCTGTTAGTTTTTCTTGCCCTTCTTGTCTAATCTCTGTAAATTTACGTGTGTTACAATGTAAAGATGTGCCTTTCGATGTTTTCCAGAAAGTCCACCCCAGGGCAATTACTCAGCTATTCGATGTTTTACAGAAGCCCCCCCCCGCCCTTGTACCCTGGGGGGACCCAGAGCCGTTGGGCATATTTTTCAGGGTCAGATTCTCCAACCCCGAAAACCTGTGCACACAACTTTCTACAACTTTTTTACCATTTTTAGAAAATTCGGAAAAATTGCACTCCAAGATGCACTTTATGCACTCGCAATGCAGTTTCGATCCAGCCCCAAAGTGTAATAGATAGACTTTTTTTCCTGATATTTTTCCGAAGACAATACCGAAAACCGTAACTCGATCGGTTCATCAGAAAGAATTTTCTGATTTATTGTCTAATTTGCCTGGTCTATTAATATTATTGAGTAACGTCACATAAGTTGTCGCGTTTGAAGAAAAACATTTTTAAGGTTATAAGTTGGACACCTTGGTATCATGAAAAAGAGGCACCTACTTTTTAAAACTTTTTAAAATGAAGGGCTTTATTTATTTTTTTGTAATATTCTGTATTCTGATAACTTTGTGCTACGTTTTGAGAAGCTACAGCAGATCGTCACTGACAAAACTTACGCCTCCCGGTGCGGGTTTAGGGGCGACGGCGAATCATTCATATTAATTAGCTCCATATATCAATTAGCAAATGGCACTTTAAAACTAATTTCATTAGTGCGAGATTATGTAAGCGCGCTTTAAACTCCGTGTTGCCCACGAAACCCCATACCGCCGTAGGAGATGATTTGTTTTCCGTGTCAATCACTAATTAGATGTAATTACTGTCTGGGAATTCAGTCCGGGGATTTGTTCGGTGCAGATAATCCTGTCGCTCGCAGGGTAGATTATAGTTTTATCTCATCTTCAGTTCCATTTACAAAATACTATGGACGTCTGGCTTTTCCCTAATCTTGCTAAGATTTTATTATTCTTTTGGAGTTGTTCGTTGTATCGTGGTTGCATGTAGTTACGATTTAGACAGATAGATTATTTTAAAATATATGTAGTTCACCTTATTGGGAAGGTGTTTTTTCAGAAGCTTCTTTAAGATGCCGATTGAAACTTCAATTCATCTTTACTATTGATAATGTTCCAGTTAATTATTGTATCCGTAATCGTTTGCTTTGCTTTGCTAAAACACATGTTAAATAGATAGTAAACTTTGACTGAAGTTTCTCGTTGCCAAGGCCAGTAATAACCCTTTTAATTAAAGTCAGAATGACTTAACGATATAAGCAATGGATAATTAACTAAAAGGCAAAATGTTAATACGTTGTTTTCACTGAAAAGATGCGACTTCTATACTAATTTTTTACATTTTCCCATGTAATGCAAATTCGTATAGTGGTCAACAGGTCATAGGTCATAGTCCATTCCCTGGCCAATTCTCGGCTTGATCGCCATGAAGTAAAGCCTAAAGAATCGTTTATATCAAAATGGCCCTCTTTGAAACTAAAAAACCATTTCTGTACTTTCTCAAATGACGTTCTCTCCGTAAATGACATAAATGATTCTAACGCCATCTATTGAACTCAAACCAAACGATATATCAGTTTTCCTACTACAATCTTTGCTCAAATTTACTTCAATCAAACGGCATTAAAACTACTCCGATGTGTCTAATAATTGTTTTTCAAGACATTCTTACCATGGAAACCAAAAATGCTACGAGCTTTTCCATCATTCCAATACTTTGGTTTCTGTTCTTCCCATTCCCTTCCCAGATATATATTAGTAGTGTCTTTACTGGCACCAGAACACCAGGACAGTACCCATTATACAGGGTGATTCAGCCATAATGTCGTTAATTATAAGGAAAGATAAGGAAAAATTAGTAGAATACAAATACGCGATTTAAAAAAAAATAAAATGCATATTTACGCTAAAAAAACATTTTCATCATTATTTAAACTCCTTTTCGGATCGCTCCTGACCACTGACTTTTATCGAGAGTGAATCTGGACCTACCGTAACATTCGGTCATTAACCTAGCTTTTAATACGTTTTTAATCTGTAGTGAGCTACAATAAAGCTTTTTAGCTAGAGATATGACTAAATAAGATATTTTATCTGCTCCCACTAAGTAAAAAGACTATTAATACATTGTTTTTAAGGAGGTGAGTGGATTTCACCGTAGAAGTGGAAGTTGCTATGGACAGCGGGAGGTAAGTGAGGTAACTTACCTCCCTAGGGAAAAAAGCGATTTCCAGTTATAAATGCATATTTTATGAACAAATAAATAGAAATATTTGATGAACATTACATTTTATTAATTATTATGATCGAATATTTATAGTAATTGTACAGTTATTACATTTAGTAACACTTATAAAATCTGGATAATTATTCCCCTCGCGTCTACTAATTGTCACATTTTTCTCAAAATGATTTGACCGCTCCATTTTAGTCACCGGAGGCTCAATATTATCTGACTGATCCATTGAAACCCCATGATGCGACGTACTACTAGAACCTGGAATTGAAGTGTCATTGTAAAGAATCCTGTTGGCTATTTTATTTTTGTTACTTAAACTGTCAGCCACATAACTTTCTGCGATTGGGGCTGATTTCCACCCACCACGTCTCTTGATTGCTAATACATCAACTCCTGTATTAGCCAGTAACGTTGCCGATGTTCTTCGAAATGAATGGCTTGTATATGTTTCAGGGTGTTCTAGTTTCAAAAACTGTGCAATCTTATTAGGAATAATAGAAAGAGTATTCTTGTCGACTGGTTGATTGTAACATCTACCTGCTTGATAGCACATAAAAAATTTAAAATGACACTACGCCTAAAAAAACACTCACTCATTCGTCCATAGTTTTGTTATTAAAGTTTTAGGATCCACTGCACTTTGGTTTTGAAACCAATTGCAAAATTATAGACGACCAGGTAAAAAAATCAGCTGTTTCGCTTGGATTTTCGAATGCTCTAAGTCTGCTAATTTTCTGTCTTTATTGGGCCTTCCGAATACGTGGTTGAAATTAGTAACAATTAACATTATGACTCAATCGCCCTGTACATTGAATGAATGAAAATTCCCTAAATGATTGACATATCTTTTTAAACGCCGTGGTCATGGCCTACCAAGTCTAGAAGAGATTCCTAACTTATTATTTTGTTTCAGATATCCTACTGGAGGACTCTAAGCCTTTCCTTTTCACCATGATGAGGTGAACTCGACGCGGAGATGCAGCTAACGCGCCCTTTCCGCGGCGGCCTCAAGAAGGTCCTGGGCTTGTTCTGTGCGGTGCTGGGGCTCTACTTCCTGGTCAGCTCATTCGTGGCGCTCAACAGGCAGGACGACCAGGCCAGAATGGTGGCCGAGGAGAAGTACGTCGTCGGTAGCGACAGGAAAATGTACGAGTACAACCGGCAGATGCCGCTCATCTTCATTGGGGGAGTCCCCAGGTCGGGCACCACGCTGATGAGGGCCATGCTGGACGCCCATCCTGATGTCAGGTAAAATTTCTAATTCACAATTTGACACATGTAATAAAAAACTGTAATACAGTATGAAATCATTCAGTTCAGAGAGGTGTTGAATATCATCCTGTTATTCAAAAGACCTTATAGACAAGACTCCTAACTCCTTCCCCTTTTGAATTGTCATGTCATAAATATGCAGGGAACGGGACGGATAAATTTTTTTACATGCAAGACCTACATTAATTTTAAATGAATTTATTTACACCCTGTTTGTTACAACTAAATACATAATTCCATATCTCGTATGCATAATATCGTAATAGTTTCTGTGCGCGTTATTTTCCCCGTTCATTCGAACAGAGCAAGTGCATATCGAGACAGGGAGGAATAAATACCTCTCAGGCAGAACGAATCTCTGCAAATGCGAACGGTTCTAAATCACCCCTGTCAATCGAACAGCTTTCCAATTTATCTCGTGGGAAAAATTCGTTAAATCCACGGCTGCACCCCATTATAAAACAAATGGAAATATTCTTTTCTTCTAAGTGTCCATTCAAATGAACTTTTGTAAAATATGATCACATTTTTTTAAATTCCAATTAGTTTACAGCTGGATTTTTTATTGGATTACGATTAGCTAGATGTCGACTGCCTTTCAGTTAAATTGCAACTGTATTCCAAATGAATTGTTATGGCTTCTGTTTCTGTTGAAATAAGATTTTGTATTATATGAATGACTAAACACCATTTTAGTTGGATTGGAATTGTATTCCAAAAGAGTTAAATTGCAGTTACATTTGCATTATATTCCAATTGCATAACTGGATTATTAAAATGAACTTTTGTGAATCATAAAACACAGTTTCTAGGCTTTATATTTTTTGTTCAATTATGATTACCTGGATTCCAACTACATTCTAGTTAATTTAAAATTACGTCCCATATGGATTGTTATTCGATTACCCTTAAATTTTGTAAAATATGTGCAAATCCCTCTTCTAATTTTTTTGGGCGAGAATTATATTCCAAATTAGTTAAACAGCAGCAGCTTTGCCATTGGCTTCATCAGTAATTCCAATTGAAAAGTTATTGTAATATTATGCTATTAAGATGAAGTAAAACATACTTACATTTTTGGAATAAGGATTTTTTTTGTTGAATTACGTTTACCTAAATTCCAACTAACTGCAGTTCACTGAAACTTTATTTGCATTCGAAATGGATTGTTACTGTGTTATTGAAATTAAGCTTTATAATATATCAATGTAGTTCTTATTCTCCTATTATCCCAAAGGGATATTTATTTATTCTCATGACTTACAGTGAAGTACTGTAAAATATAAACTGTTTTTAGGTTTTGAATTTTTTTCTAAATCACAATTACCCATACTCCAACTGCATTTCATTTAATTTTCAATTATCTTCCAAATGGATTGTTACTTGATTACTATTCCATTAAAATGAAATTTTATATAATATGAAACTCTTCCAAATAAATTACAATATAACTGAAATTATATTTCAAATAATGTAAATTCTAGTTGCATTCGAATATATATCTCTGTTGGTTCGAGTTGTATTCCATGTACCCTGAAACTTACTGGCTTACTTTATTCAAAGAAAGTTTTATAAAACAGGAACACATTTTTACTTATCATTACAATGACATATTCCAACTAAGTTGCAAAAAGATTCTTACTAGATACCTCTTTACATTATTATATTTTTACAAGGAATATGCTACAACGTACCTAAATAAAAGGAATAACATTAAATACATTTAAAAATATTTATTATATAGAAAATTATTTAAACTAATTAATTAAACACCCTTAAAATTCTAGTACGATGAAATTCTTGCTTAAATTAACAGTCAGTAACACTTAGAAATATACAGCATGTCCACAGAAAAGGTGTTGAATAGGAAATACTTTTTTATTTTTCATTTTATCGAAAAAAGTTACTCTTTGTAAAAAATTTGCTGGTTCTTAAAGTACTATTGGGATAGAAAAATTTAACATTTCTTGTACGGGGTGTTCAAGAAATTGAAAAAACTTTAAAGAGTAAAGTGCACTTATTTGTGAATACATATGTGGAAATAAGTGACTAGGAAAAGTTATTCAAAAGTAAATAACCTCTAATACCAATTTTCGAAAAAATCAGCCTACTTATTTGTAATCATTCAATTTATTAATTAAGCTAAGTTTGAGCGGCCATATATCAGTCAATTTTCATCCAAAAATACTTTACAACCTCTTGTTTTTAAGGAAATTTTATCTACTTTTTTTTCTATGAAGCAATGCCTATACCTATCTTCACTCAAAAAAAAAACTAGAGGCAAAAAAGTAAAAAAAAAATCAGAAAATCGAATTTTTTGCTTTTTTCAAATTGTTTATTAACGATTTTTTTTGCATAAAATTTTCCTTTTAAATTTTTAAATAAGCTATTTCGATGGGAAAATCAATTCTCTAAATAATTTTCCCTATGAACTATAGCGAAATTTTGCTTCGTTTTCGAGCTACAATTAATAAACTGAAATTTTCACCCTCTAATGTAATAGCACCCCGCGGTTTTTTCAACTAAAATGACCCTTTGAACGATTCATGCAATAAAATTGCTTGAACGTCATAGTTCCTTTTAACCCCGTTTTTATATAATAGCTTATACACATGTACGATAACACCGCAGTAAATAATTCGCACTTTTATTCGTATATTTGCATCGAATATATAGAGCCTTAATAAATAAATAATTACAAGCCACGTGACCGCTGAGCTTAGGCAACCAACACTGCACGATTGGCACTGTATCTTAAACTCCTTAAATCTTAACGTCATCAATTGATTCATTTACAATGAATAATGGCAAACGGTTGCGTCTGCGCAACCGTTTGCCAAGATAATGCGAACTCCTATTGGTTGAATAAAATGTCGTGAAAAATTACACCAATCACCAATCTTATTGTTTTAATATCCTTTAATTTTATGAAAATTTATCTGCCAATTCGTTTTAAATATTATGTATATTCAGTTCAATTTAATTTTTTGTGAATTTTCATCAGTATAACGCAGTTATTACCACATTATTTCGCATGGGCTAACAACCCGGGTCAGTTGGCAGCATTGTTACCCGCCCTGCCTTTCGCAATTTCCGTTACAGTTACCTAAAACACTCCGATAATGGGCATTTCATACGGCAGCTCGAGCGGCAACTGAGACTTTTAAGCATCTATTATTTCAGCTACACGAGATTCCATAAATCAATTACCGTTCATTATGATTGCCGGCGCGCAGGCATAGTCATTAAGTCGTGGGTTAATTAATTTATGGAGTAAAACTAATTAAGGCAATTACTCCCCAATTTGCGTAATAATGAAATGATTATTGGACTTTTTTTCAGGGGTCGTTTAGTTAATTTTTCATAAAGGGCTCTGTTGGGTAAAAGGTCGTTTAATGTTCTGTTTGCGATGGGGTATTTTCCCCCGTAAATTAAAGAAAACATTTACGAAAGTATAATGGCGTACAGGTTGATAAATTATTTCATGATTTCAGCGGTTCTCAAACTTTTTTAGTTGGGGCGCATTTAATATGTTAACAAATTAATGGCATCTATGAATCTCTGCTAAAGATAGTGTGATATACTGAATAGTTAAACAGAAATATTAGCAAAGTGTCAACCCAGTCCATTAAAACTAACTCTAATATACAGGGTGTCCCACACGTAGTGGTACAATAACTTTTTTCGCTTCGATACCCCTGAGCGACCAACTTTATCGATGTTTTTTATAGTTAAAAGCAACGAGGTATCAGAATCGTGTGGGATCAATTATTCTTCTGGCGCAGTAGCTTCTTTTCTACTTTTTATATCGATTTCATTACACAGTGGTTCTAAGATCGTATCAGTGTCTTCATGGTCATCACTGTCTTCCAATGTTTGAGGTATGTTATCACATCTATTGTCACAGCTTGAACAAATTATAGAACAGTTGAGCCCTGCTTTCCTACATCCACATGCTCCTCGGCATCGTCTCTTGCATTTACAAGAAATTAGTTTAAGAACTTCTGGAGCAGGCGCTTGGAGTGTAGTCAGAGGGACAAGACCATTTTTGTCTTTCTTCCATCCCCATTGAAGTACAGGTTTCGTTACCAGTCTATCGCTGTACCTGATGATACATTCGAAGCGAATGTTGTCTTGCTACTGCTTCTGTAGGAGGCAATGAACGATGTTAAATTTATTCCTGTAGGCTGATTTTATCAAGCATTGGTGCCTATAAGTGTTCAGACGTATAGATTCCTTTTTATTGTAGCCGTAAAGTCTGAGAATAAAATATTCTCCAGCTTTAGCTACATTTTCTTTACCACCATCTTTTTCTTTAAATGCTTTTATAACTTCGTGAAGATTAGGGTTTTTTGGAACACATTAAGAAATTTGAGCATGTCCTGATTGAAAAGAGGCGACGTCGTCAACTGTTGCATCCGAGCGGTACGCTTAACACATTAAATGCATATTGTTTTACACGTAGTAAACTTTGTAATTCTCGTACGTGAAAACGGTTAGTGTTATGAAAAAAAAAATTAAAGAGACCCATTTTGTAGAGAAAATTGTGTACCTAGTTTAATTTAATGCAGAACCATTTTTGTTGTAAAATCAATCAGAAACAAGATATATATAAAAATTGGTTTCAGGTCATATTTTTCTTTGAGTAGCGGCACCAGCGGCAAAGACACGAGGTTGGCAAAATAAAAAATAAAAAAAGCTGTTCAAAATACATAGAGGGTGTTTCTAAAATAGGGTTCCAAACTTCTGCTGCGTTTATAACTCATTAAAATAAGCCAAAAAGTTCCTATTAACATGTGCCCTAAAAGGCACCCTTAGGAAGTTATATGCCCTTAAAAGGGCTCAAACAAAACTGTTTTTTTTTTTTCTTTTACTGACAAAACGGTCGCAAATAAATAGAAAAAAAATTATGGGTCTTACATAACTTTTTACGTTAAATAACATGAGCTACTCCGTTTTTCGACATGCAAATCATA